TACTGCCACCCCAAATCTGGAGCGCTACCCAGGTTTCCCAGTCCAGACTCCAGCTCCAGCTCTTCCTGCTTCCCAGCCTGCCTCCCTCCTTTTCTCCGGCCTTCCCAATTTCAGCAGCCAAAAATTGCCCCGTCTTTCTGGTGTCCTTTGTCCTGGGAGATGTTGCTGCTTGGTGTGAGGCCAGGGAGGGAGCCCAGAAGAGGGCACTGGCGGTGGATGGTGGGGGTGCCGGCTTCAAGGGTGAAGACGGGGGTGGCCGGCACCGACAGCCTGCGGAGCAGTGGAGGGGAAAGGCCAGGCTGGGAAAAGCCTGCCGTATGGGGGGAGGCGGGCCACGCGGGCCCAATCCCCACCTGACCCCTTCCTTGTGACCTCAGATACCAGAGTGACGACTTCAAACCGCTCTGAGGAGGAGCATGGAGGTGGCAGGAGGAGGAGGAGCCTGCGGACCACGGCCCCTCTTGTTGTAGGCCTTGGCTGCCCAGGGCCCGCACCCCGCATTTCAGTCTCCCCCTCATACTCCTCTTTCTCCATCCACGACCTTCCCTCCATGTTGCCACCGATGGCCCTGTTTATCTTCCAGTTCCTTCCCATCTTAACCCATTCTCTCCGACTTGTCTGCCAAAGGAAACCCCCCAGCTTGAGCGAAGCCCCCCCCACAGGACGGTGCCTGCCGCTCAGAGCCCAGTGTGGCCTGGGCAGGCTCCTGGCCCCGCCGCGTCCCTTTGAGGGTTCCTGCGCCCGCCTTCCCGCTGCCTCCTCACACCTCTCCGGACCTCCTCCCTCACCCCTCTGCCCACCCCAGCCACCCTGCGGATTCGACTTTCTTCCAGAAACCCCTGCTCTACACGTGTCTTCATTTTTCTCAATTTGTCCCTCCTTGAAGTCCCCAAACTCCAACGCATTCTCTTGAGCACAGCCCCCCCCCAGCCCCCGCTCCTCCCGCCTCACGCCGACCGCAGAACCCGCCGCCCCGAACTTCCCGGCCCGGCTCCTGCCCCTCCTCCCGCCCCGCCCCCTCGCCCCGCCCCGCCGGCGCCGCGCTCGCTCCCGGCCCGGCTCGTCCTCCGCGCTCGCTCCTTCCCGCGGCCTCTCCGTTCCCCTCCCCCTCTCCCGCGCTCCCGCCTCCCTCCCTCCCTCCGCCGGCCGCTCTCCTGCGCTAGTCGCCGGCCGCGCCGCCCAGCTCGCCCGCACCCGGCGCCGCCGGGGCCTCGGCCGGGACCCGCG